AGTGCTGTGCTTTTTTCTCATAAAATTACTTCGCGCCTCAATTTGTGCACCATATTGAGCTTCCTGTCACTTCACTGACATGTTCTTCCCTCATGGTCAAATCCTTTCAGCACGATAAAGTTGGGCTCCTCTTCACTATAACAAGGTCAAGGGACAGCACAGTTAGTAGCACTCTGGTCTCTGCATCACTACGCTCTGGAGTCCAATCGCACCCGAGGGCTTGAAAACAAAGAAAAGGCTAATACTTTTCGAGCAATACAGTTGGAGCTATCATCACATAGTTGAGACCTTAAACCAAAGTGCCATTAGCCTCCTTCAACTGATGCAAAAGCTCCTATAGCAGTATGTTTCAAAGGCAATTATTCCTGTTGAGTGTGCCATATTAGATCCTAATCAACATCACAAAGATAAGATTTCTGAGATTTTGTTGAGTGCATATTGGCTGAAGGGTTTCCTACTTCAGTAAAGTGACTATGCTTCAAAAAGAATAGTTGGACGGAAAGTGTTTTGAGACATATTGTGGTCCTGAAAAGCACTCTAAATACATGTCTTCAGTTTTAATGCTATCTGCCAGGCAATGTTTAACATTACCCACAATTCTATGTAAAACATTTGCTCTTAAATTCTTTACTTGATCTGTCAGTAACTCTAATTTGTGCTGCCTCATCTGGAACTCAGCCCCAACATGATAAATATTGAGTGAATATCAGTAGAGTTCTTCAATTCATTTTTAAATGGTGTCAAAAGACCTTTCAGATTCACTTGGACAGTGCAGCACTCCTCGGTGAGGTAAAGTCTAGTCACCGGAGTTAGGCTTGTAACTTTCTGACAGAAAAAAAAGGAACAACAAAATTTTTTTTAAAACTATCAAATGCATGAAGTGGCTTAGTTCCACACCATACTGGAGATGTATCAGGTTACTGTACTTAGATAACCTGGAAAGCATTTACAATAAAGACAATTACAAATAAAATAAACTTAATATGCATTTTCACTATGGAATATTCTCTTCATCTGACCCATCCTTAGCTATGATTAAATGCTAAATTCACAAACAATATTGTGATCCTGAGAGAAAGGAAAAGCCAATACTTCCCCTAACTGAAGTACACTCAATGCAATAATTCAATCTGTTGAGGGGTATTTCTATATAACTATTTTCCAATCCAAAAGGTCAACTAAGTAATTCCTAAATTTGCCTTACTAGTCCTTCCAATTCCTGCCCTTGGCCTGACATTGGCTCAGCTACATGTGTTCCATACATCGGATTATATCTATCCAGACTTACCATTCTAACCTCTAATCCTGTTGTTGATCAGACATTTATCCAGCTTTTTAACACCTGTGAATCAACACATCATTAGTGGCATATCTCACAAACCCATGATCCCAAGGAGAAATCTTTTCTTGTACATGTTCACGCTCCACACAAGCCTCCTTCATCGAATTATATTGGCAAAACCTCTTCCTTTCTCCCTCATGAATTTACCATGATTCCCCTTAAAGGCATCCGTGCAAAGTGACTTAACTACTCCATGCGGTATCAAATTCATATTTTAACTACTTTCTGTGTAAAGAGGTTCCACTTGAATTCCAAATTGAATTTTTACTGACTCTCTTAGATTTGGATTTCCCAACAAGTGGAAACATTTTAAAAGTTGTCTATTGACCTTTTATAATCTATTAGATCATCTCTCAGTTTTCTCATTTTGCTAGAATGTTGAAAGGACATAATTATCAGGAGAAACTGAAACAAACTTGTTCTCTCTGTTTGGTTTTTCATGATAATTGTGTCCTTTCATCACTTAGAAACCTGAAGCATGTCTCCTCCTTATAATGCCAGAATAACATAAAAGATGAGCAGAGCTAAAAACCAGTCATTTGGACACATCCAGCATTGACAATATTGTACACACAATCATACCCTTTGCAAAAGCCTTTATAACCCAAATTGATAATTGCAACACCAATTACTGCTAATGTCATTCTGGAATTTGCAATGATCAAGCTGGTGTCCTCAATTACTAGTTGAATCAGCAACATTATTTTACATCCATTAACATGGTAGTAATTGACAACACAATTGGTCGGCTGCGAGAGTTTCTTGAGAGCAAGAGCCTGTCAAACATTACCACCATATAAACATATTACTGTCAGTCTCATGTACATGCATCATGCCAATATCGTTGAATTAAGGAGCACAAGTAAATGTTTTTTAAAAAATCAGTGCATCGGCAGTACTTGTAACCAGTATTTTCAAGCAAGTGTTAATGTCATTTTAATGTTAATGTCAGCGTGTGTGATTTTTTCATAATGGGGTCTTGTTTCCAGTCTAAGCAGAGACTCATGTTGGTAGTTGTAGTTGGCTGGATAGCCTGCTAATGCATCACCCAAGTGACCATTTTAATTCCATGTCAGTGAATGGTGACTGGCTGTTTCAACACAATCCACATTCTAATCGGTTGTTACAAGTCTAAACTATTTTCTGGTTATAACAAGCCAATAAAGGTCTGCAACAGATGTTTGCCATAATTAGCGTTCTCTCACAATTTTCATGTTTGTGATTCAACAGAACCCTTCACAACTCTGGGTTCCACGTTAGGTTTATCTGGATATTAGTTGAGGGTTCAACAATCCTTTTTTTTAAGTTTCAAGAATGATTTAAAGTATTAGTGTAAGCTTAACACTCAGCTGCTGCTCATCTGTTAACTTGCACCTATATAGGTTAGCCCCTTGTAATAAACTCAAATTGTACCTTAGTCTGAAAGTGCAAAAGGTCTTTTCCTGCCAAATACTTGAGACCAATATATAGTTCACTAAAACAACTGCTCATCCTGCTCCACACCAACTCATTCACTTCATGCATGACAGTTATAAGTTTCAGTTTGTCGTGTACGGTCCAGTAATTATGGAAGCTGATTGTTGTTGTGAATGTTCATGTAATTATAGGAGGAAACCTGAACTGCATCCCTGGCTGGGGACCTTCTGCACAAATATGGCTTATTAAGTTGATCCAAAACATGCTTGTCAGGCATCAGTTACTAGGAACAACAAGTCTGTCAACTAGATAGCCAATACAACCTCACCTACACACAAATGTATGAATGGGCAGAGAAGTAGGTCATTACCCCCTCGAGTCTGCTTTGCCATTTAATAAGATCATGGACTGTCTGACTGTGGCCTCAATTATATTCAAGTGCCTACCCTGATACCCTTCGCCTTCTTTGTTAGTAAAGAATCTATCAACTTCTGCCTTAAAAATATTCAAGGACAACGTCTCTAATGGTCTCTGGGAAGAGAGTTCTGCAGACTCTCGACTATCAGAGAAAAAATCATAATTTCCCACTAAAATGGGAGGCCCTTGTATTTTTAAACTGTGTCACCAAGTATTTGTCTTTATCACAAGGAGATACATGCTATCATTACCCACCTTATCAAGTCCCCTAAGGATCTCATATTTTCACGGATATCATCTCTCATTGTTTCAAACTACAATGGATATAGGCCCAATATATCCAACATTTCCTTGTCCCAGGATTCAGTTGAGCAGCCACCCTGAACTGCTTCTAATACAATTATGTAAGAGCACCAAAACTGTATGCTATACATTTGGTGTGATCTCATCAATAACCAATACAACTGTCGCAAACCTTCCCTACATTTACATTACATTCCTCTTGCAACAAATGACAAACTCCATTTCTTTTCCTAATTCTTTCCAATTACTGTATCCATATACGAACTTTTAATGATGCATGTGCCAGAATACCTGAATCTTCCTTACATCAGAGGTCTGCCAGTTTTCCCGCTTAAATAATATGTCTTTTTAATTCTTCTTGCTAAAGTGGATACTTTCACATTTTATGATGCTATACTCTGCCAAATTGTTGCCAACTCACTTAACCAATCTGTGTCCCACACAAGATCATTATGTTGTCCCTACAGCTTACTTTCCTACCTATCTTTGTGTAATCAGCAAATTTAGCAACAAGATATATTTGGTCCTGTCATCCAAGTTAGTTATATAAGTTGTCAGGAGTTGATGCTCCAGCAGTGATCTCCGTACACTTCACTCGCTTATATCTTGCCAACCTGGTAGTGATCCATTTATGCCTACTCTCCATTTCCTGTTAGCTAACCAATCCTCTGCCCATGTTAGTATGTCATCCCCTACAACACAAGCTCTTATTTTGTCTTGTGTAACAGTAACATTGCCATACTAATAGCTTCATTTGTTTAAATGGTTTTGGACTCAATTTTAAACCTCCCACTGTTCGAAATCTGAATCTTACTTCCTCAGCATCAACAGTTTTACACCAACACTAACAAGAAATAATTAAGAACATGCGGTTTACTGCAGGATTAAAACACTGTACTATTTTATTGTGTGAAGTAGAAACAGCATCAAACAAAGTTATATCACAATGCAGTTTGCTTCACACCAGCTGAGACTATGCTATGCACTGTGAGATATTGTACTATGATTCTCTTTACTAGCTCACTCACAAGAGCTCTATGTTTACTATACCATGTTTCCATTCACTCATTCATAAAACCGCATTTTTCTAGTACATTTTACTCTTACAAGATAAACTAAACATCCCTCCCTACCCATTACTGTTTCTTTACACCTTTCAATTCTTATCGACCCCAAACTGCAAGCAGCATTCAGACCTCTTTCTGTATCAAAGGCTACCCCTGAATAAGTGTTAATACCGTTACCTGCTCGGAACAATGCCATCCCCACTATCGTGTCTCCATAACTTACTCAAAACTATGGAAAGATTATAATATTAATTAGCCCTTAGCAACCGTCTCTCAGGACCTGAGTAGGTTGCAGGACAACAAACAGTTTCCTCCACTGGCATGTCCCTACAGTCTGCTGCTCTTTATCTCTCTGAAATTTCCTTATACACTATCCCATTTCTATAACACTGTATTACTATTTCTAACTTTTATTTAGGACTACCATCTTGTACTAACGTATGGATTTATACTTTTTAAATACACATTAAATAGGGCCACTTAATGAGTAAGAGCTGTCAAAACCAGCAATAGTAAATGAAATCTCACAACTCAGCTGCGGGAGAACAGTTTAATATCCTGTATACTATTATTCTGAACACGTATAGTTTCTCACTTATTTAGAGCATATAGGTGTAATATTTTTACTGACATTACTAACTTTAAAGACAAAAGGACCTACACTTCTTAATTATGCAAACTCAGACTGGACAGACTTTCTAATCCCACCAGGAGTAACAGGCAGTATTTAGCAAGGGCATAAACCATCTCCTGTTTCCCCAGGACAGATGTCAGGCAAACTTGCGTACAATAGATACAACTATGTGACACCATAATGCTAACATTTTAATGTATGTAAAAACTGTATAAAACAGGCTACAGTAAAACTGTATTTTAGGTTCCATCACCACTTCGAAATGTGCTACTGCAGATGGCTCAATAAAGAGGCTATTTTCACCAATCACTGACCTCGGTCGTTATTGAACACAACCCCACAGCACACTCTGGTATAATACTGTCAATGTCTCAGCCCTTGTAACGGTGGACTGATCCATTTAAGCTGCAGTTGTGGTGCTTTCAAATTCAGTATAATATCTGGCAGTTAACACGCACTATACAGTCTTTGGTACTGAATTGATCATCTCTTTTACGCCCTTACAAACATTAAACCCAGTCAACTTACTGATTCAGTTGTACTAAATACTAAAATGTAGCCTCCACTGGACTCAGTTACTTTTTTATTATTGTAAATATAAAAAAGGCTTCTCTAAATAAATTATCAGAGTTTTGTTTTCTAAATAGTACAACTTTTTTTTAATATTCTGACTGCTGTTCAGTATACAATATGTCTCAGATAAATATATAAAGATATTTGAGAAATCAGTACAGTCAGAAAACAGAAAAGCACTAGAGATGCTCGACAGATCAGTGAAGTATCTTTCAGATGTTGATGTTATGACTGGGATCAAACAACAACAATTTTCACTTGTAGAGAGTCATTAAAGTAGTATAAGGTCCCAAGATGGTTCACAGGAGACTAACCAAACAAATTTAATGCCAAGTCACATAAAGAGGTAGGGGGTATTAAAATGGGTGGCAATCAAAGAGGTAGGTATTAAGAAATGTCTTAAATAGAAGAGACAGAGACAGAAGGTCCAGAGAAAGAGCTTGAGACCTTGGCATCTGAAGGCACAGCCACCCATCAGAAATGAAACACCTTTGCAGGACCCTGCTCTCTTGGCCTGTTGTTTTACAAGTTCCAAGAAAGGTCCCATCAGCGGGTAACCTTAACAATTTCAGCAATTTTCAGTTTCATTTCTGACAATCCAGCACTTTTTTAAAAACTTCTTCTGCATCTCCAACAAAACCCCAATGTCTACCTCAGGAAAGTTGCCACTGCAGTTTGCATGTCCCGTAGCATGCAAAGCATTGGCTCGTAAATTCCTGACGGTCCTTGCAGCTGAAGCCAGTTTCCCAGCTTGCTCACACACTCTAGCACCTCATTGTTGGTGATGCCAGTGGCTAAGCTCGATGACGTTCCGTCAACCCCACGCTCTTGCACTTTGGCCTCCAGGCGAGGCCTCTTAGATGTCACACAACTGTCCTCAGATTTGGGCTGCAGGCCAGACAGCACCTCCTGTTTTGCTGGGAGCAATTGGGGACAGGAATTAGCCGAACCCAGATCGCCCCCAGGAAATCCGGGACCCAGGCAGATTGCATGCTTTTTCAACTGGTCTCCATGGTGTGGGTCAGCGCAGGGGGTCTGCTCCATGTTTCCATATGCCCGATATAGCATTTGGATTGCATCGAGCAAGGTCACATTATGGCCAATATCGGTGACTCTGGCCTCGACCTCAGGTTTGTCAGGAGTCTGTCCACATGCCACAGAGCTTTCACAGTCATGCTGCTCGTTGGAGTCCTTCTTAAAGACAATGTTGTTCCGTGCCTTCCATCGCGACAGCCACCCGTCAGTTGGCTCAAAGTCATCATGACGCAGCTCCTCCGCAAACTCCTTTGCTTTTGTCTTTAGCATGGGGCCGGAGATGCGGACTCCTTCAGCTACAGCATGCTGGAACCACAAGAGAAGAGCGTCTTCCACCTCAATGTCCTTCCCTTTCCTCTTCCTCTTGCGGTTGGGATTGGCATTCTGTCGCCATTCTTCCAGGATCCTCTCCCTGTTCTGGCTGATGCGTCCCACCTGGCTCTTGGAGATGTTGAACATCTTGGCCACCGAGGCATAGGAAGCTTTCGGGCCTTGCAAAGCTGCGACAACCTTCACCTTCTCAGCAAGCGGCAGGTCCGTGCGCTTGTGATTCGTGGGTATCACAGGCAAGCTTCCTATTCCTCCCAGGACAATAAATGGTCTGCCACAAAAAGAAACAGCAGTGAGATTTTGTACAATGAAAAAGTACCTGAATAATGACAAAACATTACGGAATAAATTACACAGACAAGAATGGATATTTGGATACACTGCAAAAAGCAGTCGAGGAAAACTAACGGCGAGGAGGTGGTATAATGGTAATGACACCAGACTGGTAATCCAGAAACCCAGGCTAATGTGTTCTGAGAACATGGATTCAAATCTCACCATGACAAATGGTGAAATTTAAATTCAATAAAATCTGGAATTCAAAATTGGTCTAGTGGCGACCATTGTTGAAGGGTATAAAAATCCCATTTCATTCACTGATAAAGAAAATCTGCCATCCTTACCGTATACGTGACTCTAGACCCACAGCAATGTGCCTGGCTCTTAACTGCCCTCTCGGGCAACAAATACCAGCCTTGCCAGCGATGTCCACATGACATCCAAGAATGAAAAGGAATAATTCCGACCTGGAGATTTCCTGTCTCACCAGTCACTTACTGATTCAGACTCTAGTTTCCCAAGCTGCCGTGTTATAATGTACTGGCTTCAGCAAGGAATCAACGGACTAGAAATGAAAACAGAAAATTGCTGAAAATGCCTAACAGGTCAGGGAGAGAGAGAAATAGGGTTAATCTTTGAAGTCATGGCCTTTCCTGATGACCTGCTGAGTATTTTCAGAAATTTTCATGTTTTCACTTCAGTTTTGGAGCATCTGCTGTATTCTGCTTTTCATTCAATGGATCAGGTTACCCATCAGTAATTCAGCCCAAATGGAACAGGAGGCTACAATTTTCTCCAATGTGTATCAGAAGCCAAACTGGCAAGGCTCACAAAGCAGGTAATAACAAACAAAATGAGAACAGATAAGGTAAAACAGGAAGCCTTGATTAGCTGGCACAGAAGTATTTTAAAGGATGAAAGGAATTGCGGAGTTCAATGTTTTCTGAGATCCTGGGAATGAATAAGTAAGAGTAGGTATCAGGATTAATTCTATAACCATTGTGAAAATTATATCCAGAAACAGAGCACTGAACGGTGTTCCACTTGAGCGCACACAAAGTAAATAACAAGGAAACGGAAATAAAAACAAAGTGGTGAGAAAACCCAGAAGGACTGGAGCGAGCATCTACAGTAGTTTGTTTTTAATAAGGAAAGGAAGGTGTATGCCTGTAATATTTCACTCTTCAAATAGATATAAACCTGAGTAAACACTGCCTCCAATATCATCCATCACCAATTAGCTTTTCGGAATAAAATGGTTGGAATACTAAGCTGAATCCTGGGCAGTGAGAATCAGACAGAAGCAAGATCACATGAAGCAGCTGATTTCAATCAAAAATGAACAAAGAATTCAAGTCCAAAGGAGATTTGAACATCATTGCATTGATCAGGGATAAGAAGGAATGGAACAAAGGAACAGGAGGTTGGAAGCTACAGTTGAGGGAGGAATAACTTAAACCGAGTTCACAGAATGTCAGTGTAGAAACAGGCATTCGGCCTAACAGGTGAAGATGATTCATACCATCTTCATCTCACTGTATAGGTGACGAGATTCCTTCATCTTGTATTCTCTTCAGGAATGCAGGAGCAATTTTAGAAGATCAGAGATTAGGGCTCAAACCTTAAAGAGACACGGACTTTGTAGAGTTAAAAGCTGTCAAGCTGAAAGGATTTGTTTTATTCTACAAAAGAAGAGAGTGAGCTCTATACTTTAGCAACAGAACAGATTGTGAGGCCAACAGAGAGGACATATTGAGAATTAAGGATACTGCTTCAAAGGGAAGGGGAACTGTGGGCTTGTGACAGACGTTGAAAGACTTCGTCTTTGAAATATGGGAAGGAACAAAATTATGAAGCGATTGACTAATTAAAATATAGTATGTCAGGCATCAGACTGAATGGAATGAAAGATACAAATTTTCAGCTATTATTTACCTTCACTTTTTACATGAAAACAGCAAAGCAAGTGCAATTGAATTGTAGCATTTACCTGGAATCCTTTTCATTCTCTGTATTCAGTCTGTTGGTGCCCTGTGTTTTCTCACTCAACCATCGTGTGATTAGCTCATGGTTCTCAACGGCCATCTTCTGCAGTCGTTCTTCAAGGGTGCTGAAGGTGATGTGGAGAGCGTTGTATTCATTCTTCAGTGTGTGATTGGCTCGCTCCAAGTCCTGCAGGTTAGTCCGCAGCTCCTGACACTCCACCTCCAGCCTCTTTATTCGTTTGTGGTACTCCACCATTCTGAAACCCATCAGGATGCAAAGTGCAGGTTTACTTGGGTAATTTACAGAGATTGCACAAATGGATATGTCTCACATTTACATTGGGTGAGGGGAAGGGCTATGAAAATGGGGTAAGGGTACAGAATATCTCTGAGAGTGCGAGTGGATTTATCTGTGATGGTCCTTACTACCCTAGAGCTCACAATCACAAAATTGCACCTCATGGCCCCACATGGGGTCCTGACCTCCACCTTGGGAAGACCAGGCTTAAAACAGTTTATTAAGATGTCCTATTTCAGAGGTATAGGGAAATACAGATAAACTCTAATAATAAGATTCACCCGTTTGAATGTAAGACTACAGGAGGTTAAAGACAGAGTTATCTCATTTGATGTGAAGCTACGTTTCCAGCACATTCTGTGTATTCCAACTTTCCTGTAGCCCCTTAATACCTGAGCATCTAAATCTCATTTACAAATTCCAATTTGTCAATGCTGGGCTGAGCAATTCTGACTGAATATAGAAAAAATCAGAAACATTCCAATGTGTGTAAAACATTCATCAAAAAAAAGGAAAGATTCATTATCATTTCCATGAGTAAACAACATGGATAGCTCACTGGCAATAGTAACTGCTCACTTTCTAAGGCTCACATTTATTTAACTTGCCATTTACACAATAGTTTTCAACATAACATTGAGGAAAGAGAGATGACACAGCACATATTCACTAGGAAGCAGCCTTATTTCAGGAAAGGCAAATAAAAAGATTGAAAAATTAAGCCGGCTTTAGTTAGAGCTTTAGGGATTTGAAAAAAGTTGTTTGTGTTGTTTATGGACACTTAAAATGATGAAGGGAAAGGACAGAAGCAGACAGCTTCAAGCAATTGAAGGATTTCAAATGAAGGAACATAGTTGTAAGATTAAATGCGAAAGATTCAGAGAAGAGTTGAGGACACTATATTTTTTTAAAAAGAATTGAGGATTGCATGATTGCACAATGGGAGATATGATATTCTTTTTCGGTTCAATGCAAATGTCCATTCAATTGCAGGCAGATGGGCATCTCAACAATCCTCTCTTCAAATCTAAAATGAGTCAGACTCTAAATTGCACACTAACTTACTTTGTCTCGTTGGTCAAGATTTCTCTATCTTTTTGCTGTAGTCTGCTATTGAGTTCGATCATGCTTTGTGTGAGCTGGGCAAGAGAGAAAGGAGAAAAAAAATCACAAAACCTCACACAGTACAAAACCAAGGCTTCCAAATAAATCCAATCAATCAATTATATTTAACTCCTTAGATACATTTACTGATATAAATGAAGCAACGAATCAAGGATGTTGGATGGGGGGGATAATGTCCACTTAAATGGTGAATATTTGAATCTAAAACTGTCAATATTAGGAAGAGTTATAAGGCATAACCTGACAAATGATTTCGTCTGGCAACAGAAACAGTAATATGGAGAAACAAACTTAGTGTAATTGAAAAAAACATTATGGTTATTATTTAGTTGAAATGCAAATTGAGGCCACAACCTGTTGTTGAAACACTGTTCCACTCTTTTGAAGTGGAATTAAGTAGTTGTACCAAAAAGAGGAACATTAAAGGATTCAGGCAGCAATCAATGCAGTGGGATAACACGGCTCAAGTGCAGTCAAACACCAGAGGAGACTTGATGCGCTAAGTGAGCTATCTCTGTACTGTAATATTATGTTTCTACGATGGGCTGTTTCTGTGCCCAAACTTCCTGTGATGAAGACATAGAAGTGTACGGCACAGGCTTCCCTCCACCATTCTCTCAGTAAAGGCACACTTATGTTGCTGGCCCAAGGCAGTTGCCACCATAAATAAATGTCACAATCAGCATTCCATCTTTTTCAATGCGTGACAGCAGGCGAGGCTACTTGGTCCACTTTAGCAAAGGAAATCTATCATCCTGACTTGGTCTGGTCTGCTGGTGACTTCAGATCCACAGCAATGTAAATGACTCAACTGTTCTCTGCACCTGATCAAAGGGTAGTTAGGGAAAAGACAATAAATGTTGGCTTTGCTGGTCATGCACACAGCCCATTAACAAATTTTTTTTGTTTTAAATATGCTGACTGTTTAGATTTCAAGTAAACTCCATAGTCTGGTACATTGGTTTCTTACATATTGTACCGACAAAGATCCAGATATTTGCCATTGCTGTAGTTAGGTCTCTGACATAAAATTCCTCAATGGAAGCTAAAATTCAACATGCTGCAACACAACGAGGGTCTCTGAAGATAAAATCTCATAACACAGGAGATTAGCTTTCAATCCGTCATGCCCATGTTGGCTCTTTGTAAAAAGCTACGCAATTAATCCTTTCCACCATTCTTTCCTCATTATCCTGATCCTTTATCTTTTCAATTCCATTTTTAATGTTATCTGTTTCCTCCATTCTTTCAGACAGCTCATCATAAGCTGCAGCACAATAAAAATTCTCACCTCCCCTCTATCAATTATACTAAATCTGCTTCCTCTGAGTACCGATGCTCCTACCAAATTTTCTAGATTTATTCTATCAAAACTCTTTACAAATTTTAACACCTCTATTAAAATTTCACTTTAACATCCATGTTCTAGGGACAATAATTTCAGTTTTTCCGGTCTCAATCCCTTATCACTAGTACCATTCTGTTAAACCTTTGTACCTTCTCGAAGGCCATGAAAGCCTTCCTGAAGCGTGTTGCCGACAAGTGGACAACGCTCCAGCAGAGGCTAAACCAGCAATCAATAAAGGTTTAATGTAACTTTTTCCTAAAACATCAACGTAGAATTAAATATTCTTGAACATTATATGAACACAGTTACCTAATACCCACTCTCCCTCCCAGTGTCATGGTCCTCAACATTTTAAAACTTTGTGTAGGATGACTCCTACCTCATTGTCATGAATACCACTCGAGACTTGACCTCACCTTGGGAGTGCCCTAAATTTGCCTTTCAGTGTCATCACACATCAAGTAAACACTGTGGTCGTAGAAACTCGTTATAAATGGGAATTTGCACGTTGATGTCAATATCAGAAGCAGAAGAACTGGAGGGTTCTTCTGTCGGTTCTCTCGAATGTAGACAGAGATGATTCCTGAACCAGGCACAGCAATGATCATAACAGGCACTGAAATTAACTTCACTGGCCTAAGATAAGGGAGGGATGTTCCACTGACAAACAACTGTCAAATTACAGAACATCAGAGGCAGATGGAGAACACAATTAAAGCTGCAGGAATAAGGAGTCTAGGTCTACACAACTTTGGTCATGACCTTCCAATCTACTGAAGAAAAGATTCAGCTATTCAATTGGGCCAAACAGCCAAACAACACAGTCAAGGGCTACTGCAAAGAACCCTGACCATTGGCATTGATACCTACATCTCCACGATTTTTGTGGAACTCCATCAATTCATCCTGTTGCTGGATCCAGGTCTGGGTGCCTTTTTGCAGCAACATTTCATTCTGCGTCCTTTGCAGGGCTGGTCTAACATGTGGAAGGGATAAAAATGCATGCGTTAGTGGTCAGAATTAAGGCTTTTTGTAATCAAGAACGGGTCTCAACTGCACCATGCTTACAAACTAGCAAAGGGAGACTTACTATAACTCTTTATGCTACAAGACAGAATGGTTGGCAGGTTTACTGATTGGCCAGGACTTCGCCACAAAGAAAGCAATGGGGAACTACAATCTCCCATGAAAATCAAAACGGTTGTGAATGTTTGAAATTTGGCATTCTTCCATTTGTGCTGGTGCTAGATACAATTCTATTTTGCCAGCATTTACTCTGACTTCTTCCAAGTAATTTCTCTCAAGCCTTGTAAACCTGCTACCAGTCACCCTGCTTTAAGTTCTCAGCCAACAGCATTGGGAAATGATAAGCAAACTTCCTTTCTGATGGTCAAAGCAACACAACTGAGATCAGCAACTTGTGGGGGCATTTGCTCACAAAGCAACAACTGCATCTCCAGTATATTTCTTTCTGGTGTTTCTGAAGCAGCTTCATACATTCCGGTTTCATAAAAGATGCTATGAAAATAGAAGTTACTGTCTTCATCCCATTCTTCAAACAGACCCTTCAGTCCAACCAGTCCATGCCACCCATAATCCCAAACTAAACTAGTCCCACCTGCCTGCTCCTGGACCATATCCCTCCAAACCTTTTCTATTCATGTACTTATCCAAATGTCTTTTAAACATTGTAATTGTACGCACACACACCACTTCCTCAGGAAGTTCATTCCACACACGAACCACCCTCTGTGTAAAAATTTTGCCCCCATGTCTTTGTTCAATCTCTCTCCTCGCACCTTAAAAATGTGCCCCCTAATATTGAAATCCCCTATCCTCGGGAAAGGACAACTACCATTAACTCAATCTGTGCTCCTTATTATTTTATCAACTTCTATAAGGTCGCCTCTCATACGCTCCAGTGAAAAAAGACCCACCCTATCCAGCCTTTCCTTATAACTCAAACCTTCCATACCTGGCAACATCCTGGTAAATCTCTTTAGAACCTTCACCAGCTTAATAATATCCTTCCTATAACTGGGCGACCAGAACTGGACACAGTATTCAAGAAGAGGCCTCACCATTGACCTGTACAATCCCAATGACTTCCCAACTCCTACACTGAGAGGACTAAGCAATGAAGGCAAGCACGCCAAACACTTTTTTAACCACCTTGTCTATATGTGATGCAAGGTTTCCTCCCATAGTCCAAAGATGTGCAGGTTAGGTGGATTAGCTATGCTAAATTGCCCATAGCATATAGGGTGGGAAATGCAGGGATAGGATAGGCTAGGGGCTGGGTCTGGGTGGGATGCTCTTCAGAGGGTCAGTGCGGACATGATGGGCAGAAATGAAGAGTCCCGACCTGAAATGTCAACTTTCCTGCTCCTCTAACAATTTATAAAACTCTTTTAACATAAACTGTCTCAACATTTTTAGATTTCAGCCACTTACAATCTATATCAAGGATCTAGATGAGGGGCCCAGTGTAATGTGGTCAAATTTTCTAACGAAACAAAGTTAAGTGGAAAGGTAAGCTGTGAGGAGGGCACAAAAAGACTGCCAAAGAATATAGACAGATTAAGGAAGTGAACAAAAATGTGAAATATGGAATATAATAAAGTATGAAATTATGCACTTACAACGTATCTTGATAAAACAATATCTAGAGGACTGTCCACAATTTTGGTCTGCCAACCTTATCCAAGAGGGAGTCCATTAGACGCTCAATGGACTTTTCCTCGCAATGAGGCATTTGTCCCAGGAGGGGAAATTGAATAAGTTAGATTTGTGTTCCCTAGAATTTAGGGAACAAGAAGTGATCACAGTGAGATATATAACATTTAGAGTAAATGCCCCTGGTTGGACAGTCTAGAGTTTGATGTCAAAAAATGGGCTTGACATTTTCTGTTGAAGAATGTGGAGGAATTTGTTCACTGAGAAGTTTGAGAATCTTTGAAATTCTCAGCTCCAGAAAATGTTCAGTGATTGAGTGCATTCGAGAGAGAGATCAAATGGATTTTTGGGATACTAAGGAATATATGGACAGGGCAAGAAGGTAGAATTGAGGTAGAAAATTAGCCACAATCTTGCTAAATGGCCGAGCTGGCTAGAATGGCCACATAGCCCATACATGGCTCAGGAGCGTAATCAAATAAAACTTGACATCAAAAAAAGGTACTGTTAGAATGTAGGGCCAAACTCCTGCTCAAGGTGATATGTTTTAGGGAATGCTTTAGGAGGAGTGAGAGAGACAGAGAGAGGAGGGAGTTTAGGTATTGTATTCCAGAACTCAGGGTCTAGACAGTTGAAGGCACAGCTGCCTCTGATGGTTCAGAAGAAATCAGGGATGTGCACAAGGACAGAATTGGAAGAATGCAGAATTCTAGGACACGATCACAAAGAAAGGAGGACTAAAGTTTGTGACAATTTGAATACAATGATAAGAAATTTAAAATCCAGTCAGGGACAGGTTACTATTAAAGCTGCCGCGTCAGAAATACAAGAGGAACAACTCCCAAAAACATAAACTCGGAAGTGTATGAATGCTCCCCTGCCTATGGGGTTGATTAAGTGGGGCTATTCATAGATCATTGATTAAAACTTTAGATTTTTACCATCCTTCCTGAAGATCCATGGTACAAATGCATCTGGTATTGAAAACTAGAGCTTGGACACTCCTGATATACCTGGTAGTCTGCTGGTCACATTTTTCACCCTGAAGTTTGTCAGTCAGAGCTGCCTGCAGGTCGCATTTGTCCATCAGCTTACTGTCTGCAATAAACATAAAACACAAGCAAAACAACATTAGTATGATTCCCACTGCTCTCAAGAACATTTAAACTGCTTGCCTACCACCACTGGCTTACTGAGTCAAATCAGTGTCCCAAGCAACACTGCATTAAACAGTTCAGTAGCTTATATTTGATGTTTGTTGTAGAGAACTCACTGCACAGACTCCAGCATATTTAGTTAGATTAGCTATTATTGTCACTTGTACCCGGGTGCAGGAAAACTGTAAAAAGTGCAAACATGTTTCAACATATTCTATCATGACCAGCAGCCCAGGAAAATGACAGATGCCATCTCAAAGGGCTACAGCTACTGCCTAAAACAGAGAGAACATAAGATGTTAAGTTAGTCTGTACTCAGCTTTTAGGCCATACATAGATCAAGTGTTAGAAATTCAGCATTTATCCTCAATGCATCTAAACTATTGAGGAGTGAGGTCAGGATGAATGGCAGGGAATGGCTCCCTATCATTATCCATTGATGCTCCTAAAAGTTGATGGGAAACAGCATGATCAGGCTCAACTGTGATGCTCCATAGGATTGAACAAGCTGTTGACATATACATAACTGGCAGGATCAATGATAAATAACAGATGTTTGGGCACGGTTGAAGAGGTTTGTGGCATTGTAAGATTCACCCCTCACCAAACCCATCAAGATGCAGATCAGTAGCTTCAGCAGAAACATAATGGGGATGAGTGAAAGAATCAGTTCAGGTCTTCCAAGGACTATCACCTATCTGGCCTGGTATATGCCTGACTCCAGAACCACTCAACGACATTAGATCATGACGTAAAAATTATTCTACGCTAAAGAAGGTAGCCAATGAGTGTTACCTTTCTAATGTAGCTCAACTTCTGAGAACTAATAAATTACACTCAGTTCAGCTCCTAAATTAAAACTACCTGTCACTACTCTCTAAGTCCAAAAGGCTACACCAGTCAAACACAAGCCTGACCACTCAGACTCTGGAAATTATTGTGGCATCCTACTCTCATCTACTGCTGGAGCGATTGATTGTTTCTGAACTGAACTATGGTAGATAATGCTCTTACTTAGATCCAAAAAGAAATTGCTATTTGATTGGTATTACAGGAAAATTTCAAGAGAAACATGAAGAACAGATACTAGCAGGTCTGGCAGCAGCTGATTTATGGGAAATAGAGCTACATTCCAAGTCCAATATGACTCTTTGTTTGGGTCTGGTTCCAACCAAGAGTCATATTGATATAAAACATTAACTCTGTGTCATATTTCACAGATGCTGTAGAACTGCTAAGTTTCTCCACCACTTTCTGTTAATATTTCAGATCTCTCAATGTCCACAGAAGTGACCTGGCACTGCCTGTAGACTGAGGCTGGTGCAAGAGGTGAAAGATCAGGTAGATGGAATAATCAGTTCAGATCTTACAGGTCTGTCAGTCCACCAGTTACAGTGTAAAGAGTTTATCATGTTATTTAATGTCTCCATAATGGCACAGATTTCAAGGACCTGATGCTTTCTTCATCACCAACAGGTTCATTGAGGGTGATGTTCTGGTAACCAACTTGTTTTGGTCTGCTGTATTTCAGGAAGCCATGACACCTAGTAGACACCTAGAGCCTGTTATCCAGCTTTTCAAGCTACTAGTAGCAATGAGAATTAAACAAGCCATCATTCACAAAGTCCTTTTCACTGGTGAACCACACAACAGAAGGCTTTCATACTATAACACATTGATGATTTGGCTTAATTTGCAAAACAGCTGGAAGAACATAGGGACAATTTTCTAACCAGCACCTTATACCCAATAAATCTGTTCAGGGAAGACAGCTACATTTGACCCAACAATTGACCCCAATATTAATCTTCAGCCTCTTCAGTGACTGAGCAAGTCTGGTTCAGCTTTTATTTGTCTGATAATTTACAAGTGAAAGTAGTCTGAAAACGATAGGGTTACACAAGTGGTCAAACTCTTATTCAAACTGCTCAGACATTCTATGACCCATATTTAGGGCAGATGGGGCCTAAACCCAGACTTTCTAGGCTAGAGGTAATGGCACTACTGCTGCACCACAAGACCCTCACTTAGCAGAATTAATATGGCACTCAGATCACCTTTTCTAGACATCTGAGGAAACTGGTCAATTTGTGGATGTCACTTTGGAAGTTTAGCAATAATCGTGAAATTTGCACATGTCGCTTTGAAAGTTTAATAATAATTTTAGAATCCCACATCTCCAGCACAAGGCACACAAGGCAAACAAAGAAGACCTAGAATGATCAAACCCCAGTGCCTAAATGGAAGGTTGAAATGATTGCTAGGGAATGGGAATATGCTCGAGACGTTTGACCGCACACTGTCAAAGGGAGGATCTCAGTGAACAGGAAGAGTTGAGATGCGGTGGGGAGTGTCAAAATCCACGGCTGCTCCGACCCCCATGAGGATGGCAGCAGCGGGCTCTGCCCCCAGCACCATGGACAGAGTCCACACGGTTCAGGGCGGGCACCCACCATGGACAAAGATCTGGAAATTTCAGGACAGACTCCTGCCGACCAAGAGCTGGAGTCACGGCTCATCTTTAGGAAGTGGATGTGATTTCCACGCGAATCAGATGAGGGGTTTGTGCAGGGCTGGAGGGAGGCGATGTTAAGGAGGTGGAACTGGGCTGATGTGGGGGACGGGGAAAGTTCAGCTCAGGGTCAGACAGGAGTGTCCGGGATTTCGGCCTGAGCAGGAAGGGAGGGTAAGAGTGCGACAGGCGGCCTGTCAGCCCAGCCTGACCCCGGTACCTACAGCCCCCGAGCAACGCTCCAAGAGACTGGCGCTCCAGCCGCTCCCGCTCCGCCATCTTCCCCGGGGTCCTTCCATACACAGCGGCGCCGAGCTTCCCAACAGTCTGACTGCTAGGCATCACGGCAAGAATCCCACAAAAGCTAGGGACTGCAGCCCCCGAATTGAGATTGAAAGGCTTAAGAGTTTCTTCCGTTGTCGCATTTTAAAATACTCGGACTTCGAGCAGGCAGCAGGTTGGACAGCCATATAGGCCGCTTGGCGCCATCTTTGATACAGGCACTGGGCGTGGCTACCACGTGCCAGTCTCTCTGTTATTCTCAACCTGAATTGACTTTGACCGTAAGATTTTAATGTAATTAAAAGTGAAAGTGCTGCAGAAACTCAGCAGGTCTGGAAGCATCTGCGGAGAGAAACACAGTGAACTTAGCAAGTCCGATATTACGTATTCCAGCACCACATTTTCCGCTTGGGGGACCCTGCAACCTTCTGGACTCAATGGCAAGTTCAATAATTTTAGAGATAGTAGGAACTGCAGATGCTGGAGAACTCTACACCTTGTTATCTCAATAATTTTAGGGTTTGAGCTCTTCCATGTCCTTACCCCAACCCCCACACACCAGGCCTTGTTATCACATGGTCTGCCATTACACGCAACCCATTGATAGCCACTAACAGTCCCCATTACCAGCTATTCAACCTCCTAGTCAGATTGTTATCAACTCCTTTGTCTATCCAACTATTCATCTCTCTCTTTGGTCATATTCCCACCAATTGTTTACTCCTTAACCCACCCCCACCCTATCTTCTGCATATAAACCGACATTTTCCTAGCTACCATCAGTTCTGAGGAAGGGTCACCGAACCCAAAATGTTAACTCTAATTTTTCTTCACATATGCTGCCAGACCTGCTTAGCTTTTCTAGAAATTTTTGTTTTTGTTTCTGATTTACAGCAGTTCTTTTGGTTTTTATGATATATTCCAAATCTGTGACCTCCACCACCTAGAAGGATGAGGGCAGCAGATGCATGAAAAGACTATTGTATCTGCAAGACCCCCTCCAAGCCACAGATCATCCCGACCTGGAACTAAATCACTTTTCCTTCACTGTTGCGAAGTCAAAATCCTGGAACTCTCTAACAACATCTGGGCTGTGTTCCTGTTTATTTTCTTCCTGGCTGGGTGAGCTTCTGAGGTTTGTGTGCAACAGTGACTTCCAGAACCAGATGCCAATGGTGCAAACATTGTTGGCATACTGATTGCCATGAGCAGACCTACAGACTTTACCATACTGACTGTCCAAGAAAGGAGCTCACCAGTACCTTCTCAAGAGAAATTAATTGGGAATAAGCAGTGACAGCACACACATCCTGTGAATGAATTCAAGAAAGCTTATCTTCTTTCTAAAACTGATCATGTATTCCTATCCATCTAATGTTTAGACCCTTTCAAAATAAGAGCTAAGCCATTTAGAACATGAAGTAAGGAGTGTAAAAACGACCTCCTCGGAGGCGGAGGGGTTTGTTTAAGCGAATCAAGCGGTTTATTACAAGCAGTTACGGGTAAGTGCAGGGAGAGCAGTTTTAGGTAGACACGCAAGAATACCAAACTCACTCTGATTCATGGGCACAAATTACAGCTTTTTAGACACTGAAACAAACAACTTGTCTAGCAATCATCAGCAGTTTATCTCCATCCCTGTTTCTAGTATGGTCACTTCCTAGGGCACATCATGTGCTGTCATTTTGGTTTGATAATTTAGTCAGCTACCTATGTTGTCAGCTATTCTGTCCAATAGTCCCGTCTAATTTCATCAGACGGCTACTAATGGTCAGGCTAGTCCTGTGGTCTAAATGAAACGTCAACTATTTCAAGTCTATTCTACTATACTTATGTGTGTGAGAGTCTTCCCTTTCAAGGAGAAATTTCTCCATGCAGAAGTGGTGGATAGATGCCTAGACATTAAAGACATCAAGGGAAATAATGATAGTGCAGGAAAATGGCATTGAGATAGAAGGTTAGCCGTGATCTAGTTGAATGATAACGCAGGCTGAAGGAGTCTGAAGAATCTGACGACTATTTATTTCTGAGTGGAATCTGTTGTTTTATTGTCCATTGTGTTGATGCATCCTGCTCTGGTGGATGGAGCTTAAATCCAAAAAGATCAGCATCCTGTGTGAGTCTGATTAGCAGCAGGAAGCAGACAGTGATAGAATGCTGGTCATACTATATGGCTTGTGTGTTCCTGAAGCCCCAGTTGTTGCATGTACACTCTACATCAATTATGACTGAGAATAAGTGGATAATCTCCTTTACATATATCAGTTCTTTCACAACAGTCTCCAATTTGCTACTGAAATGTATAAATAATATCAGATATTATTGGGTAATAAGGGCGCGTTGGAAACTCAAGTAAAGAGTTGCATGACTAAGTCAAGGAAATATAACTATATTACAAAGGGACAGTGAGGAAACTGGTTCCAGTATTGAATGTCAATTTGCTAACTCTTTTCACTGCTGGAATTTAGTATCAATTTAAATCGATGTAACAAATCCATTCACTAATGTGAAGATAATTACTCGCTTTGAACAAAATCTCAATGTACCAGAACCCATTTCCCATCTTCTCTGTGTAGAAATCCAACGTACCAATGGTTTAGTTTTTGTTTTTGTACCAATAAAGCAAACCCAATACTCATTCCTGTTTCATAGCATCCCAAAGTACCAATCCCAATTGTATTCATATCCATTGAACAAAATCCCAAATGTAACCAAGTCTCTTCGTTACCATCGTACTGAGTCCTAAAATGGTAATATACCCATTGCCTTTGAAGGGTTTTGGATACTTCTTTGCTTCATGGTAATAATTAGATGTATTGTAGTCACGTGTACCTAAGTACAGTGAAAAGTTTTGTTTTGCGAGCGGTACAGGCAGATCGTTGAAAACAAGGACATACAGATCATAGGGTGTTTAGATAGAGCAAGGAATACAAGATTACGGCTGCACAGAAGGTGCACAAAGCAAAGTCAATATTAGCAAGATCAGAATTATCTGAAGTTAGAGAAACTTTGGGATTGAGGTATTTCTAAGCGTTGTATTTGGAAATAAGGTACCTTTTAAAATGTAGACTGCGTCAAGGCTGGACTGGCCAGTTTGTACATTGCCAACAGCTCACAGTACACATCACATCAAAACAAGGAGGATCGAGTGCTTCATTCCAAGCCAGGACAGCCACCATTCATTCAGAATAGCTGGAGTTATGTTATTTTCCTCAAACTCCTATCTCTAAGGAAAGGAAATATAACCAGTTTTAGTGTCATGACCTCCTGGAGAATTACTGAAAGCAGAATAAAAACTGTGTCCACAACTTCTCTTGCTGGAGAAACAGAGAGAAAAAAAAAAAGGTAAATGGATGTATTGACTTTTACAAAGACAAGACTGTTGGTGGGTGAGATGGGGGGGTACACTTAGATGTGAGATTGATTCATGAAAAGAATGTGTTTTGACTTTTCTTCCAAATGCTCACATGTTGCTAGTAAGCTAAAACCCTAACGTTTCAATTAGCTCCAGCCCACCAATGGTTTCAATCTGCCTTTGAAGAAAGGTAGAGATGTCTGTCGAGAAACTTGCAAACTGCATGGGGGTCATTTTAACCCTCTGGATGGAGACAGTTCAAAACACCAAGGCCACTTAGCCACACTGGAGTTGCTAGTGTCTATTTAAATATCTGCTTATCAGATCTCTCATTGTGTCATTTGGACCCCACTGCAACACTCTATGTAGATGGTCCATGTAATGAGATTCCTGTTGGGCCAACACAGTGAGGAAGAACCCCAAAAAGATCACATGTTGTGGCCTTTTCAATTAAACAAGAGCTTGCGGAAATAACTTCTCCCTGTCTCATTCCCCGTGGCAACAGCTTCACTAGTCAGCATCCAGTTGCCAACCAATCACCATCATATTCTCATGCAGCATAGATTATTGTTCCTTGTGTTATTGGGTATTCTTGCGAGTGTCCTGATGGGTAAGAAACAAAAACGATGGGTCTCCTTTGAGCAATACTCAAGATGATACTTGGATTGTAAACGGTTCAGAGAAGGTACACTAGGTTGATTGTCTATGATGAAAGGTTTGTCGTGAGGAAAGGTCGAGGGGGTTACTCCCTACTTATCAGAGCTTAGAAGAATGAGAGGTGATAGTAGAAGACATCATGAATAGGAAGGGTTTAAAGGGATGTGGGCCAAATGCTGGCAAATGGGACTAGATTAACTTAGGATATCTGGTCAGCATGGATGAGTTGGACCAAAGGGTCTGTTTCCATGCTGTACAACTCTATGACATGAGACCCTGAGGGAACCTGACAGAGCACAAGCTGAGTTTAAGTTTCTTTTTTTATGAGAGAATCCCAGGGGCGCAGTTTTGGGAAAAGGAGTTTCCATTGAGATGGAAAGGAGGAGGAACATCTCCTCCGAGAATGTTGCTAATTAGCCCTTGCTAAGTTACCCCAGTGTGAATGGAGAGTGGGAACAGAAACACTGAGCTGGCATTGCATGATGGAGCTCTGAGAATTGATGACAGAATGAGAGATACGGGGACCAAGTTTAAACTCCATCATGCTTGCTGCGGTGTGGAATTGTTGACTGGAATCCAGTGGAATTCTCAGTGGAGAAGGGTAGGCAGCAGAAATTATTCCATTTTCTCTCGAAGAGCAATAACATTGGAGCAGACCACTGTGTTTGGCTGTGCTGTCTCCCCGGGACTGGGATTGCTGACATGGGACAGACCAAGGTGGGGCAATAACGAGAAGGAAAAATTGAACAAAAACAGAAGTTGCTGGAAAAGCTCAGCAGGTCTAGCAGCATCTGTGAAGAGAAATCAGAGTTAATATTTTGGGTCTGGTGACCCTTCCTCGGCAGCAAAACTTGAGTTCCCTTTTGAAAAATAAGTGAAAGCATTGATTCCATCATCTTTTATTTCATCTGCAACCTTCTTCACTGGTGTTCTCATACAACTTCAAGACAATACCATAAAAACTCAATAGAAGTATTTACATTTCAGAAAACATAAATTTGCCCCCTCTGAGTCCGGAAGTTGCAAAAAGCACTGGAAATCACTCTTTACCACTGCGGCTCCCTTAAACAAGACCAAACTACACTCAAATTCGTGGTTAATGGGCCCTGAGAAACTTTGAAATGGATGTGAAAGGTGCTTCAGAAATGCAAATACCTTCATTCTTTGCATTTTAGTTAATGGAAAAATGGCAGCTGAGACGGATGACAGACAGGATGGCAAATGATGTGAGGCAGGGAAGCAGTCACCAGAAAATGGTGTGAGGTGGGGGAGGAGGTAGTGTTGTGGGTGGGATGGATATTTGCCAATGTTCTCTAGGGGAAGTACCTCTTTGGATGGGGCATATTGGGACTCTAATGCAAGGAAAACTTGGCACCTGGGAATTGGTCATCTCCCATGTCGAAGTGGGTGTATTAGTGAAGCAAAGCCTTCGAACACAAGGCATAGTTTCTTTTTTAATTCTTCCACAGGATATGGGCATCATTAGAAAAGCCGTCATCTGTTGCCCAAAAGTAACTGCCCTTGAGATGGTGGTGATGAGTTGCCTTGTTGAACCACTGCAGTTCTTGGGGTATAGGGACTCCCACAATGCTGGTAAGGAGAGAGTTTCAAGATTGTGATCCAGCAACAGTGAAGGAATATTAATATATGTTTCAAAGTCATGATGGTGAATGGCTTGGAGGGGAACCTGTAGATGCTGAAGATCCATGTATCATGTCCTTGTCCTTCTAAGGTAGTATGGGCCATGGGTTTGGAATGTGCTGTGGAAAAAGCCTTGGTGAGTTGTTGCCATGCATCTTGTATATGGTACACACTGTTACTACAGCGGTGGAGGGAATTTACGTTGGTAGACAGTTTGCTAATCAAGTGGATGCATTTGCCCTGGATAATGTTGTTGAATGTTGTTGCAGCTGTACTCATCCAAGCAGGTGGAGAGCATTCCATCACACTTCCGACTTTTGTCTTATAGACGCTGGTCAGGCTTTGGGAAAACAGGAGATGAGTCACTCGCTGCAGAATTGCTGACCTCTGACCTGTCTTGGAGCCACCCTGTTTATTTGGCTAGACATTGTACAGTCATCAGCAAACATTTATGATAGAGCAAGGTCATTGCTAAAACAGCTTAATGTAGTTGGGTCGAGGACACCACGCAAAGAAATGGCTGCAACATTGAGATGATTAACCTCCAAACCACAACTATCTTCCTTTGTTCTCGGTCTGACTCCAATTAGTGGAGAGATTTCTCCTGATTCCCATTGACTGTAGTTTTGCTGGAGCTCCTTGATGCTTCGCTTGGTCAAATGCAAACTTGATGTCAAGGCCAGTCACAAACACATTATTCAGCATAATTCATGAGCTAATATAACATCTAAAGGCACGTAAGACTCAGAGTGCAAATAAATCATTCCACAATCCCCACCCCTCTCGTCCTTCCCCTGCCACTGGCTCACAATTTTCCAGCAATGGTCATTTCCCACTACCTCAACCATGATCCAGTGATAGTACTCCTCCCACTGAGACACAGAGTCATGGATTTAAGGATAAAATCTAGGATGACATTCTAGTGCAATACTGGGGTTGTGCTGCACTGCTAGAGTTCCCATTTTCAGGAGGGGATATTAAACCAAAACTTTGGCTCCTTTTTCAAGCAGATGTGAAAATCTTCTTAGTGGAAGAAAAGCAGGGAGTTCTTGCTGGATTCTCAACACGTACTCCTCAAAAAAATACCTACAGCAGCTTTTATCAAGTCAGCATTACATTGCCATTTGTGGGAGCTTACTCTGTATAAAGTGCCTGTCACATTTCCTATGTTACAAGGGGAGGCAATGGCTTAGTGTATTGTCACTGGACTAGTGATCCAGACAGCCATGTAACATTTTGGGGATCTGAGTTCAAATCCTGGTAAAGCGGGATGGTTAGAATTTGAAACTCAGTCAAAATCTGGAATTAAGGGTCTAATAATGACCATTGCTGGAGGAAACCCTTCCAGTACATTAATGCCCTTTAGGGAAGGAAACTGCCATCTTGGTCTAGCCTACATGTGAATCCAGACCAACAGCAATGTGACTGAATCTTAACTCTTAACAAATCGTGATGAGCAATAATATGGACCTAGCCAGCAATTATCATGTTTGAAAAAAATACACGGCAACTACGCTTCAAAAGTGTCCTTGGGTCATCCTGAGTTCGATAGGCACTGCAGAAATGAAAGTTCTTGATTTTTTGTGCCCAGCTGTGGAGTGTCAAGGGACTGTTCATCTAAGCATCCATGCCAGAGGTGAACCATAGTGCTGGTGAGCACAGAGTATGGCTCTTGTCACCATTGGTTCAGCCAAACGTTGGACGTTGCAATGTGCTCTGGTCAGCTCGTACCGTGAAGCTCCTCCACGACTGGCTATCAGATGCCAGTGAAGAACATGCCCATTGAAGGGGACACGCTTTTGAAAATATTATAACATTGAAGGTTTCTTCAAGCCTCCTCCCTTCCAGCTGCTGATCACCTGCTCTGAACTGTACCTGGCAGCCAGCTATTCAACTCGAGGAGAACAGGGAAGCAAGTGAGAGATTCACGGCATGATTCCTGACATCCGGCTCTGCTGATTCTCTCCTTAGGGTAACCATAATTTACATTTGCCACGCGTATGTGTAAGCCAAAGATAAACAGGAAATGCTTCGCTCTTCTGAAAATTTCTGACAAGGAATTTTCATCTCACCACAACTGGGGCTTTGGTCACTGTAAATAGAGAGAATGAAAGAGTTAAGATTAGTAATGTTTTCAAAGCAAGGTGATGTCACCGTCAGAATGGCTTTGGGGCCTAGCCTCAGCTATCCTCTCATGATGTACCTAAAATGGGAATCATCTAATTTCAATTCTGTTGAGAAACCGGTCAGCACGGTGGCTCAGCGGTTAGCATTGCTGCCTCACAGCACCAGGGACCCGGGTTTAATTCCACCCTTGGGCAACTGTCTGTGTGGAGTTTGCACATTCTCCCCTTGTCTGTCTGGGGTTTTCTCCCACAGTCCAAAGATGTGCAGGCTGGGTGGATTGGCCGTGCTAAATTGCCTGTGGTGTTCTGGGATGGGTCTGGGTGGGATGCTCTGAGGATCAGTGTGGACTTGTTGAGCTGAAGGGCCTGTTTCCACACTGTAGGGATTCTATGACCTCCTAAAATCCAGTCAATGGCTACATAATCTTCTTGCTAGGGATGCTGTCCTTCACTGAATATGTTTGCTGTCAGGACATGGTGGTCCACATCACACTTATCATCTGGTCACCACGCTTCCTGAAGCAACCATTTGCAGTGAAGGTCCATATAATGTGCGGACTTGAGAGCACTCTTTGAACGCTCTAAGTGTCTCTAGTGAACATACTGAGTTGTAGAGAGAGGGATCTGTCTTCATGCTGGTCCAAAGGTACCTTTACTAACCATTTATACCATGTATGTAAGTAGATAGGAGTGAGCATTCCCATTGGCTTGGGAGTAGCTTAGCCATTGTTCCAAGTGTGTATCAATGTCAGCATCATTGCTGATGTTTTCTATTCATTAACTTAATAGGACTTAGCCCACACTTACTGCCAGGGCAGGAAGTGCATTGAAACAGCACCAAACATGCCCAAAAGGAAAATAAAACATTAAAACTGTCAAATGGTTCAACTTAAACACTTCAAAACAGAGTTCCAGTAGGGCTAGCACATTCATTTCCCAGTATTACTGGTTTTTCTCTAGGTGTTCCCCTTCAAATTACGCACCATCATGACTTGGAACTAGATCACTGTTCCTTCATTGGGTCAAAATCTTAAAACTCCCTTCTAACAGCACTGTGGATATCATCACATGGTCCGCAGTGGTTCAAGAAGGCAGCTCACCACCACTGTCCCAAGAATAATTAGGGAAGGGCAATAAATTCTGGCTCAACTGGAGTCGTCCACATCCCCTCGGCAATTCAAAAACAATATAGTCCAGTCTAATCCAATGGGAGTGGTAAACTAACTACAGGTGTTGTCCTAAGATACTGTGTTAGCCACATGCAACAATAATATCCACCACTGTTCATTGAGGAAGGATGTTTAGTGCTTTCAACGAACAAAAAACCTTCATGCACTCTGCTTTAATCTTAGCTTTTTACCAAGAAATACACAAGAGATTTAACGTTCACACACACACACACACACATACACGCACACACACATACACAGGACAATGAGTGTTGGGATTACAAGGCCCAATGACAGTATATTATCCATATTTAATTTACCAATTAAAAGTGGGATTAGTCCGCATTGGGATTCCCAATTGACCACGTACACTTAGCGGCTGAAGTATTGGATTAAAAATGGAGGACAAGTCACAGAGGAGGGTAAGATGAAGTATCAGATGAGGAGGGTGCCTGTGTGCTGACTGGCACTATTAGGCTGACTGGCATGTTTCTGCGCTGTAAATTCTATCCAAGGTCCAATTGTCTTGAACAGCATTCAGAAAACGGCTGAGCTCCTCCCTTTTATTTCCTGATTCCCAGAATTATTGCATGTTATTTGTTAGAATGTGAACTCACAACTTCATTAACCCAGGGCTGTTTCTATGAATGAGCACTTGAATCATATTCCTATTTCACTCTGGCTGGTTCAGGGATGCAAGTGAATTCCAGGACCAGAGTATCGTTATTATTAATCAACGTGTTTGGCCATTCTTCTGGAACAAATGGAGCTTGCACCTGGATCTTCTGGCCCAGATATAGGCACTATCACTACACCACAAGAGCCCTTAGGACTACAGTGTGTACTGGCCACATCTCACTATTCTCATTTATATAAGGCAGTTGCAGAGGATAGGACCATGCCCTTGATTCCCATTCGCTTATTTGAGTCAGTACACCAGAGTATGTGAGCTACATTGTACCAGTCACCAAACGGACCAGTCTTTACCAAGTGAGATGTTGAGGAAAATGATTGTAACACACACTCTCTCTCTCTTTCCAAACAAGATTTCCTAGCAAACTCTGGCATTCAATTAGATCCTGGCCAATCTATAACTCAACTCCACTTACTGCCTTAACTCCATACTTCTTAATAGCCTTACCTCACAAAAATCTATGGATCTCCATCATGAAGTTGCTAGTTAGAGCCCGGCATGAACAGCTTTTTGGGGAAGAGAATACAGACTTCTCCTTTGTGAAAAAGGGCCCCCCAATTTCACTCCAAAGGGAGGAAATATCCTCTCAACATCTACCCTCGAAGATCCCGCAAGATTGTATATTTTTCAAAAAAGAAAGTCTCACTCTTTTCAACTTCATGCGCTTGAGCCCAACCAGCTTAATCTTTCTACTTAAGGCAACCCAGGCATCAAGCTGCTGAGCACTCTTAGAACACCTTCCAATCTCAGGATATCTCTCCCGTTGTTAGGGCTCTCGTAGCATAGTGGTAATGCCCCGATTCTCGGGTAGGAGGCCCGAGTTGAAAGTCCTGCCTGCTCTCGAGTTGTGTAGTACTATCTCTGAACGGTCCCTCCCATTGTATAGACAGCAAGAGCTGCAGATGCTGGAGTCAGAGATAACAAAACACCTTGTTACCTCCCATTGTACGTGTGAGAATTGTACTGTACTTACGGACACGCTGGCCTGTTGCCCCAAGGCCTCGTTGCCGTGCTGCTTGTGGTGAGCTGGTAACACCGAGGTTTCTCTGTAGTCTTTCATCGCGTGTTGTAGCTCCAGCACTTTCTGACTCTTCATCGGCAGTGGGGGCCTGGCCAGTGAAGGGGGCTGCTCACTAAGTGAGATGACCCCCGAAACCAAATGGTGAGCCTTGGCCTCTGCTTGACCAGAGTGGGATGCCCCTTGGCCCGGTCTTCTCAACTCTGAGCAGGTGTACGATCGGCTCCTGCTCTGGGGCACGGGGAGCGGCACCTGCCGGTTCAACTTCTTGCTCACTCCCGGCTGTGCCAGCTTATTGGCGGAGGGGTGGTAAGGAGAGGGGACCTTCTCCGATGTTGCTGGAGCACCTTTTCTCAGATTCCGCGGGGTGACCTGCTCTTTCTTCAAGATGTCACTTTGCGTCTGGTCGACTGCTTCGTACAAGGGGTTACTGATCAGCAGCATCGGTTTCGGCTCCAGCGACGCAGGGATTTCTGCCCTCGGGTGTATCATCGTCGGGTTTTTACCGTGAGAGCTTTCTGGGTTGCTGCTGGTTTTCAGGGAACAAAGGAGAAGTTAGATCACACAAGGCACCAAACCAGCCTGGACAGTGTAGACTGATACAGAGAGAGAGAGAGAGAGCGGGAGACTGTTACTGCTGGAAGGGTCAAAAACCAGAGGTCACTAATACAAAGCGATTGACAAAGTAATCAAATACGACATGAGAAGGTGTGCTCTACACTCTGAGGGTTAGGATCTGGAATAAGAGACTGCCTGGCAGATTTGACCATGACTTCCTAAACAAAATATTTTGAGGAGAAAAGAATTTGCAAAGGGCTACAGAGAAAAGAGGGTTGGGGTCACCAGCTAAACTCTTCTTTCAAGGGGCCGGTATCTCCTCAGAAGATCATTTGGCTTCTTTTCCTGCTGCAGCAGTTCTATAACTTGAAAGAGCAAGTTTGGTATTCTACACAATGTAAATGTGATGTGTGGTACAAATGTGCACTAAAGCACACACTTGTTCGCCATGGTGTTCAGCAGTGCTCAATGCTACATGCACAGATATGTGAGACGTTGTGCCCAGCCTACTGTCTGGAGGGTATTGCACTCTGCAGAGTCCTTTACCAAACATCAAGTAACCTCTGAGGAACCTGAACCGCTGCTTACTCAAAAGCAATCGAATCCTTGAGCCTTAAAGCGACAGCTCTCCACCTAGGCATGGAACATATCACACAGCAAACACCTCTACACATATTAACCGTGCAACATCAAATTAATCCTAAAACAAAGATGGCCATTTGTTCCACTGGCTCTGTAACCCCCACTCCCCAATCCTTAATGTCTTGCACTTCACCCTGAACACGGAAAATCCCAAGCACATCACAGATTCATCGTCAGACAACACACTTAGACTGAACTTCCCCTACTGTCCTACTGCTTCACCCGTTTGAGTAACATTACAGTCTTTGACCCAGTGAAATGATGGGCAGAATCTTCCCAGCTGTAGATTGATGTGGACATTGGTGGGAGAGTTGGGAGAATCATATGAGCCCAGCAGTAAGGAGCTACCTACCATCAAAACCAACATACCAATTTTCCAACCAAGTGTCGAACAAGGAAATGAGATTCCCGAAAGTGAGTATCGAGAGGCCTTATTTGCTTTTATTTCACCTCATTTACACACAGTTTCCTGTTCTGGAACTGGACGGCCACGTTCCTGATATGAAAGTCAGTGCAGTAACCAGCTCCTTCAGACCTCCATCAGCCACCAACATCTCAGAGCACACTCCATGAGCAGCAACTGCACCTCGTCCAGCAGGAATACCAGATCCCGTTGGCAAAGCCTGGTTCCGATTTCCCTCTGCCCAACCTGTCCAGGGCAATTAGCAGGAACCGCACAGGACACTGGTGGACTGCCAGCACTTGACCAGGTACACGACTGGGCATTAAGAATGGCACCACTGCCAGGAAATACTGGGAAGTCCCAGCAGTGACCAGTACCTCCACCCATGGCGAGTGGGTAAATACAGTGAATGGGGCACCATGGGGGCACGGTCCACAGCTAATGAGGTGACTTCGGGAGGATAGTCATTAGGGCTCACAGAGTGAAACCCAACAAAAACGTTACTCAACTGACTTCTGGTAAGAGTCAGCTCTATGTTAAAGCAGTCCGCTGATAACAATCGATTCCGTTGCTCAACACATATCTAACTCTGCCTTAAAATTATTCAAATGGCCTCCGCCACTTTCTGAGGCTGAGAGCTCCAAAGCTACTATATCCACAGAGAATAACAATCTCCTCGTTTCTGTCCCCAGAAGGCCAATGTCTACATTTTAAACAGTGCCCTCCAGTTCCATCATTTCTTTGTCCATTTTATCAAGTCCATTCAGGATCTTATATGCTTCAATCAAGTCACCCTTCACACTTCTAAACGCCAGGGGATACTAGCTGAGCCTGTCCAATCTTTCCTTATAAGACAACTTGCTAATTCTAGGAACAAAAACAGAAGTTGCGGGACAAGCTCAGCAGGTCTGGCAGCATCTGTGAAGAAAAAAATCAGAGTAAACGTTTCAAATCCTGTTCTGAGGAAGGGTCACATTAACTCTGATTTTTTTTCTTCATAGATGCTGCCAGACCTTCTGAGCTTTTCCAGCAACTTCTGCCTTTGTTCCTGATTTACTGCATCCGCAGTTCTTTCGGTTTTTATTTGCTAAATGTAGGTGTCGATCTAGTAAGGGCAAGGCTACAAAGGAGTTTGAATGGAACAAAGACAACAATTTTGAAATCATGGCTTTTTATATGTGCCAATATAAGGATGATAGGGGAATGGGATTTGCTGGCAGTTTAGGATGACCTCCAATTTATAGAGAGTAGACTGCAAGAGGCCAGCTGGGAGTGTGACAGAATAAGAGTCAAAGTGGTAGCGACAACATGGGGGAGGGGTGATGAAGATTTCAGCAACAGGCAGGTTGAGGCAAGGTTGGAGTTGGGCAACGTGACGAAAGCAGTAGGTGGTCTTGGGGACAGGGTGTGGTCAGAAGCCGGCCTCAAGGCCTAAATTGGACACCAGCATTGCACACGGACTCATTTAGTGGAATCGGTAACTTGGGGCAGAGTTTATAGCAGGGACTGAAATCAATTACTTTAGTCTTCCCTTTATTTAATCGGAGGAAATTTTTTATCGTTCCGTACCAAGTCTGGAGTCAAGGCCCAGTGTGGACTGAAGGTTAGGTGCCAGTATGGAGTGGGTTGGAAGACCATTGTTCTAAATTTTTCTTCTCCATTTTATAATTTATTCCTAAAATCTGCAATGCTGGACTTACTACTTCTCTGTTTTTCTAAGAACTGCAACTGAAGAAGCTGTACCTGGGGACCTTTGTACCTAAGATGGTGCTGTAAGTGGCAACTGTACACTTTTCACGGTACTCATTTGAGTACATGTCACAATAAAGCTAATTCTAATTCTGATGCTGGAGAGACATTTTGATAATTATAACAATCGTGGAGAAGTCAAGGGAGCTGGGCTTGAGGTACAGCTACATGTTGTCATTGTACATGTGAAAGCAGATGGCTAAGGTTTTGAATGAAGTTGCCAACGTGTAGTTGCAAATTAGGAAGGGGCCAAGGATGGATCACTGGGGGTTACTACAGGTTTTAGCACAGTTATGTGGCTTCAAACAAAGGTTGCTGAAGTCAGGATAACCACCATTGTGTGTGATGGCACAGTATTAACCACAGCCTCCAAGCTCGGGCACTGCAACTCTGTTTGCAAATACCTACTCCTCCTGCTCACGAAGGAAAGATCCAGACAAACAATTGGGTGGGGTTCAGACGAGTTGGAGGATGTTGCTTTCCCTGTTTTTGGAGAGATTTGCTTTTGCAAAATGCCAAATCCTCAGTCAAGGATGAGCTGATCTGGATGGAACATCTGTTGTTTCCCTGAACCTTACACATGTGTCTAGCACATATGAAAGTGAACTAGGAGCAGAACAGTCCACTCAGCCTCGATGTGCCTTCTCCATCATTTGATAAGATCATGGCCGATCTTGATTTGGCCTCAACTCCACTTTCCTACCTGCCCCAATCTCTTCTCAACTCCCTCATCAGTCAAGAACTAGGAAAGATCACCAGACCTGAAACGTTAACTCTGATTTTTTCTTCACAGATGCTGCCAGACCTGCTGAGCTTTTCCAGTAACTTCTGTTTTTTGTTCCTGATTTACAGCATCCGCAGTTCTTTCGGTTTTTAATTTAATATAAAGTACAAGCAGGTTATTAAGTTTATTGACACACAAGCAGGTTACTGACAGGTTAACGACCTGCTTCTCTCCAGCTAATTTCTCACTACAAATGAGCTATCGACAATAGTTCATATTTACACATTGGAAGGAACAGTTCCTAAACCATTTCAGAGCAAGTCACCTGGTCTCAGAAATTCTGAGATGACTGGCATGTGATCCTGATGTCATACCATGCTGCACCAGCAGATGTCACTGTTGTCCCACCTATACATCTTGCTGAGATAACACTGTAGAGCTGGATGAACACAGCCGGCCAGGCAGCATCAGAGGAGCAGGAAAGCTAACGTTTCGGGTCTGGACCCTTCTTCAGAAATGGGCTGTTTCTGAAGAAGGGTCCAGACCCGAAACATCAGCTTTCCTGCTCCTCTGATGTTGCCTGGCCGGCTGTGTTCCTTCAGCTCCACACCTTGTTATCTCAGACTCCAGCATCGGCAGTTCCTACTATCTCTATACATCTTGCTGGTTAGCACAGTAACAGTTGCCAACTGAAAAGAACTATGTATGGCTGTTACCATGGGCTCTTTCTCAAGGAAATTACCAATGTAGCCCAGACATGTCAACTCCAATAAAAAAAGCCATTATTCTCCACAGAGATCACTGGATGAAAATCTTAAAATTTCCACACCTCTTGTTTGGTGCACTGAATCCCTACAAGCCCAAGGAGACAGGTCTAAGTGAATGCACCTCTTGGTTTTATTCATCCAGTTACCAGAGAACGAACTACTGAGGAGGGTTCTTAGTAGGCTGAAGAGGTTATTAATAGGATATAGGAGTAAGTTAGGGCTCTTGTGGCATGGTGGCAGTGTCCCTGCCACTGATCCAGAAGGTATGTATTCAAATCCCATCTATTCCAGATGTGTACCCTAAGGTAGCTTAAATTGTTGATGTAAAACTGTCTGCAGGCGAAGCTTAATATTGATAGAGGATAAAGGGCAATTAACAGGTCACTGGGGGTGGGTCTAATAACTGGGAGCCACAGGGTTTGTTAATGGACTGGATGGAAGAAGCTATCAAAAACAGAAGTTGCTGAAAAAGCTCAGCAAGACTGACAGCACCAGAAGAGAGATCAGAATTAACGTTTCAGGTCCAGTGACCCTTTCTCGGAAGTTCTGAGGTTGGGTCACCAGACCCGAAAAGTTAATTCTGATTTTTTCTTCACAGATGCTGCCAGACCTGCTGAGCTTCTCCAGCAACTTCTGTTTTTTGTTCCTGATTTGCAGCATCTGCAGTTCTTTCGGTTTTTATTTGG